AATGATCATTAGGTTACGTGGGGTTAGGGTTAGGTTAGGTAGTGGGGGGTTAGGCTAGGGACGGTTAAGTTACATGATACATTGTTTGAAGGGCGTTTCCTTACGCACCTATCATTATTCTCAGGACTTTTCTCTAAAAGATTCTAATACTTTTAGGAACAATTTCATTAAAAGAAAAATCTTTGAAAATGATTTATAGGTCTAAAAAGCGTTTTTTTTTCGTATGACCATTTTTCCAACTTGATTCCACGTTATTGGGGAGTATTTATCGTTTGGGCTGGGTTAAGTAGTTCACGCGAGGAACGTTTTAGATTAGGTTCGGTAGTGTTAGGGGCGGGTGAAATTACTTATACTAAGAGCGAGTTATACAATAAAAGTCAGAAGTCTCCCTTTTTATTAAGGAGCCTTTGCCATGAAAACTGAATTTCATGTAGTCCCATAGTTTATTTAGCCATTATCCTAAAACCTAGTTTTGTACCTAAATTAAGAGGGCTTATTGTTAGCCCTTTTGTATCATTATAGGGTGAGGTACATTAATTATATCCATCTCTAACCACACTAAAAAGACATTAACAGAGCCAAGTCTAATTCAAATACATCAGTATTCACGCAACCTGTGCTAATCGCACACAAGACACACTGCGGTCTGAGGCATGTTAACCGATTTGCAAGTGTGTTATCTTGTAAACTATTTTAACGCTAGGTTTTGCGTTACTTACTGCGTGCTAGCAGCCGCATATAATATTACCTCATAAGGGGGTCTCAGAATCCTCTGATCATCTCTTCATCAGAGTATGGGTGTTAACGAGTTAGAAGAGAAGGATTAGTCAATGTGGCCTCGGGGTCCGAAAACTCATTCAAAATTAACCCCCAAAAAAGACAGGTCACTCACTTCCGTCCGTTGCGGTTCGTAGCTGGCAGGAGAAGGGTCAGCCTTCGTGTTGATGCGTGATGCGTATCGGTCCGGTGGGCGCTGCTGCTTACATATCGCGTGTTGCTCGTTAAATATACATATATAAAAAAGGAAAATGGGATACCGGAAAGAGGGCACATGTAGGAAGTCTCTTCTTAATGGAATAGTGATACTCCAAACAAAGGAAAGAGCCGTTCGCCCTCAAACGAACTGCATTAAGAACAACAAGCGACTTCCTCAGAATTGACATCAACAGCTCACTTGTACAAAAACCCTGACTTGTACAACTACAGATCGGATGTGTTTGATGTAGTAGTTCATAAACTCACATCATAATTTTCCCAGAAGGTACAAGATGTTTGTAATAAGTAATAACGTATACAGACTTTTTTTTTCGAAACCTTTTATTTTGTGTCATTAACAATTGAAAAGTCATCCCCCCCTTGGGATATTAAAATAGATTTTTAGCATAATTCCCCATCCACCCCAATCACTTTCTCTCTTCTCTTAATTTCCACCCGGTCTTCCATTTTTTGTTCAGCTGCTTTAACTTTTACAATAGTCATTTAAAGTATCGTTCAGTCAAAGATTTAGGCCATTTTTTCCGGGCGGAAAGGCTAAAAGAAGCCCCGACTTCGTTACACTCTGGCGTTTCACGAGACTCAAGAGATCCCTGATGGAACGCTATACTTTAATATTCATGACAGTAAAACCTAGCGACTGAAAAGTTTCTTTCTCTTTTTGATGAAGGACTAGAGTGGATTGTTGTGAGTTACCCTCACTGGAGAATGGAGTTCTTCAGCATCGCTTTTACCAGATACTTGTCCTCTTCTATATCCACTACATTTTCAAAACATTTCGAGACTTATGTGAACTTAAGGATGTTTTAAAAACACGTTTTTAATCAAAAACCTAACTTGCTCGTTTAAAAGGGATTTAATGAGTTTTTAATTTTTTAAAAATGAACAAATTGCATATATTTGATCTGGAGTTAGCAGCGCTCCTCGTGTTGACCAAATATAGTAGGTTAAAGTAGGAATAGTTAGGATAAGTTGTGTTAGGTTAGGGCTAGTGGTTAGGAATTGTTAGGATAACTATGATTATAGTTAGGTAGGATTAGGAATACTTGGGTTAAGTAGGATTAGAGTTGGGGTAAATTAGAAATGGTTAGGATAAGGTGGGTTAGGGTTAGGTTAGGGCAAGTGGTTAGGAATGGTTAGGATAACTATGATTGCGGTTAGGTAGGATTTGAGTTAGGTTAGATTAGAAAGGTTGAGGATAACTAGGGTTACAGTTAGGTCAGGTTAGGGCTAGTGATTAGGATTAGTTAGCTGTTTGAAATAACTAGGATTAGAGTTAAGTTAGATTAAAAAGGGTTAGGATAACTAGGGTTAGTGTCAGGTTATGTTAGGAAAAGCAATGTGAGAATTAGGTTTGGTTAGGATAACCAAACCTACTGCCCCAGAAGTAGAATTAGACTAGGTTAGGAAAAGCAAGATTAGAGTAAAGTTAGGTTAGGAATGGCTAGAATAAGATTAGTTCGAGTTAGGTTAGGCCAGGATGATCTTGCTGTTTACTCTCCAAATGTGTTGACATTCTCAAATGTTTACAAAATAACGACACATCATGGCCTTAGCTCGTCTTACAACGTATTGAAAACTTTGGTCCAAACCGACCGAGCCTTCTTTTTTTGGTCCTAACTTGCAGCAGTTGGAGTTAGGGATGTAAACCAGCTCCAACCAACATCAATGCCCTTTTATAAATTAGGGACATGGTTTCTTTATGATCTCTTCTGGCCTTTGACTCTAAGGCTCTCTAATGTAGCTTTCCTAAGGAGCTTATTATCGGGGTTCAACTCGGCCGCTTCTCCCACATCTAGGAAGGCAGACTAGGATGCAATGGACGGGTTTCCACTTGTACTCGCTTTTTGAGTGGCAAGTTTTCGTTATTTGAGTGGTTGCCCGACTCGACCGACATCTCTTCTAGCCTAATTCGTCCGGGGACCGATTTTCCACGGAATTCCCACGTTTTAAGTTTCTGTACTCGGCTAAATTTGATTTACGACTCATTAAAATTCCTGTCTAACAGGAGGGCTGCCCCAGAATCGATTTAAAAAAAAACTAATGAAAACGGCGTTTGTAAGCTTCGAGAGTCCTGTAAAAGTATTTAATTAGATGTTAAAAGACTTTTTTCAGCTTAAATTGTAAAGCTCTGTAAAAATATATGCGAACTGTTAGCCAATGAATTTATTTTTTAGTGGTAACTCACGCCTGATGAAAGGTCGAGCTTTTTTCAAAGGACTCCTTGACATTTTTGATACATTGAATTCTAATTAAAATTATAGAAAAACTTAATTTATCCTTACAAAACAACGAGCAAATAATTAAATAGAGCATAGAAAACTGACGCGGGGCTTTTTAATTGTTAATCTCCCTGACGGGTTGAAAGAAAAATTTGAATTGCCCCCTTGTGCAATTTCTTTATTTTCTCTCTCCTCTTCCTCTCTCTCTCTCTCTATCTCTCTCTCCTCTCTCTCTTTCACTCTCACTCTCCTCCCCCTCTCACCCTCTCTCTCCTCACCCTCTCTCTCCTCCCACTCTCACTCCTCCCCATCTCTCTCCGCCCTCTCTCTCTCCGCCCCCTCTCACCGCCCCCTCACACCCTCTCTCTCCTCCCCCTCTCTCTCCGCCCCCTCTCACTCTCTCTCTCCACCCCCTCTCACTCCTCCCCATCTCTCTCCGCCCCCTCTCACCCTCTCTCTCCTCCCTCTCTCTCACTCTCTCTCCTTCTCCTCTCTATCTCTATCTATCTCCTCTCTCTCGTCTCTTTTTCTATGTATTATCCATTTCTATCTCTATGTCACTCGCGTACTCTCTCTTACTCCCTTTTTATCCTTCTTCTCTTTTTCTTTATCATGCTTTTTCTATATATTCTCTAACTCCATCTCTCACTCACTATTAAAAATGAACAAAAAGCATTTTAAAAAAATTGAAAAATTCAACATTGGTTATTAACTGTGTTTATTGTTTATTTTCTATGACATACATAAACACATTGTGTTTTGTTTGATTTTTACGTTGGATATTTCTTTCTTTTTGTTCTTTTTTATGACCTTAAAGTCGGGATTTTACAATTTCTGGATTGTTTTTCCTTTTTTTTTCTTTTTTGTGTGTGTTTAATGTAGATATTATGTCCATTTTTTTCTGCTTTGGTTGTTTGCTTTTCTTATTGTCTCGTTTTTAAGCGTTTTGTTTTATTTTTCTTTATTTTTGTGATTTTTATAACGTTATATTCGGGTTTGACAACGTCCGTATTGTTGTTCTTTTTTTTCTTTTTGTGTGTGTGTGTGTGTGTGTGTACTTAATGTAGATATTTTGCCCATTTTTGTGTTTTGGTTGTTCGCTAGGTTTATTGTCTCTTTTTTATGTGTTTGTTTCATTTTTCTTTTCTTTTTTTTGTGCTTTTTTATAAAGTTAAAGTTGTGCAATAAATTTTGTCCGGGACAAAAAGTTGAATTTAACTAGATTAACCCCATGCCCCATTTTCACACCGTCACCACATTTTCCCCATTTACATTCTGCATTTTAGTTGGATGTAATTAAAGAAAAGGGTATGTAGCTATTAAACTTATTAAACAATGAAGTTGTTACGAAATTTACTAAGTTGTACCATGTATTTTTCCAATAAGGTAGTAAATTTAGTTGTTTTTACATATTGTAAATTTAACAGTTTTTAAAAAAGTTAGTGTTTGTTTTTTTAACAGAAATTAAATTAAAAGTTCTACTAGAAGCATGACTTCCTAAAGAAAATTTACAGATCTGAAAAATGAATAGTTCAAGAGTTATGAGTAGATTTATGACGAAATCGTTAATAGTTGAAAAACTTAGAAAGTTAAATATCTGCAAAAGGGTTGAGAATCAGTTCATACGAACTTTTTTTGTTGCATTTGAGGTGTAGAATCACCTGACAAACTTTGTCATACGACTAGCAAACAGCCCTTGTATAAGAGTGAAAAGTTCAAATTGTTCTCAATAAATGTTTAAACTTAATTATGCTATTTTTAATACTTTTTCTTATCCTGTTCCAGATGTAAAATAACATCTGTAACGTGCAGCTGTGAGCTGAAGGATATTTTCTGGTGTGAACATGTCGTTGCACTCACATTATATAGAATTCGCAATGCCGATAGTGTCAGACTTCGAGTGCCAATATCTGGTAAAATATATTCTCTAATTTCCTTTTCTTCTATGTTCTTGAAACGATTTAACAATTAACGTTCTCTCAGAAACTCTGCTACAGATGGACAGACAACAACTACAAAAATTTGTACAATATCTCATATCGGAACATCACACAGAGGTGTTGCCAACGGCCCAAAAACTCGCCGATGAGATTTTGCAGCAAAAATCATCTATAAATCAAATCCCGGGTAAGTATTCGTGTATTCCATGAAACGTCTGAAGAATAGGTGACAAGTAAAAATGATTTAACGGAATTTTTTCTTTAGGTGCCCCAGATCCAACTGCTGGTGCCAGTGCTGACGATGAACACACGTGGCACTTAGATGAAGAGCAAGTATGTGAACAAGTCAAGTCTTACTTGTCGCAAGGGAGCTACTATAATGCAAATAAACAGCTTGACTCACTATTTGCCAAAGTATGTTCTCATATTTAAATTTGAAAAAAGTAAACCTAATTTATAAATTAATTTTTCTTTTTGTGTAAGGTCTTGGTTGAGATGAAAAAAGTGAATCCACGACTTTCGGCTCGAATCCCGCTCGTGACCCTAACTTTTTCATCTCAACCAAGACCTTACATAAAAAGAATTAATTGAAAGAAGAAATCTGGTCAATTAGACCGCTAAACAAAAATAGACTAATTTATTTTATTTATTTATTTTTTTTTTTTTTGGTTGTAGGTGCGAGAAATGTTGAGAGCTCGAGATTCAAACGGTCCAAGGATGCTTACATTAATAACAGAGCAATTCCTTTCAGATCCAAGATTATTCCTTTGGAAATCGCAGGGTACACCAATGACAGATAAATGCCGTCAACTTTGGGATCAATTAGGTAATAATTGTATATCTATTTTTAATCTTTTGTCAATATGTTTAACACTCCGGTTGTGAAATTGATTATTTATCATTATCTTCAGGCGCACTGTGGGTGTGTATTGTATTAAATTCCAACAGCCTCCAAGCTGAGAAATTACACTGGAAGCACCTGTTAGAAAAATGGTCTCGGAGTGAATTGTGCCCTTTAGAAGACCCAGATTATCGAGAACCACCACCTCAAAGAAGAAACGATGTAATTAAATAATAATTTAAAAAAAAAAAGCCTGTGCCATTAATGCTGTTAACTTTAACACAGATAATTGGCGGAGGCTACATTTCGTCTGACAGCAGTGATGATGAAGATGATCCGCAAAGGTTTATGGACTCGAATCGACGGAGGCCTTGGGTCCAATCTTCTCATAAATCAAATCTGACCCCTCAAGTTAGGACTATCTTTCATAGGTAAATATTACAAATTAACAGTAACCATTGGATTAGATTTGTAAAGTGTTTTATGCCACCTTTAGTGAGATCAAAATGCCTACACATTGTTAGTAGGGAATGCTTATGGTGGGGGGATGTTAATAGTGCGAACTGATCCTATGTGGAAATCACACAATTTTAATTACTTTTTTTCTGTCTCTGACTGAATCATTAGCTTAAAAACTAAATAATTATAAAATAAACTCACCCCCTCGTGACAGCTTACAAAGACTGGCAAACCTATGCATCACAGGGGCAATGAAAACAACCCCCTCAATTGCTCTAGAGACTGCTAAACCTACCTCCATTGAAAACATGTATATAAGGAGAAGCTAGGAAAAGCTCATTAGGCTCCATAAAACTGATGGGAATTAAACACTTTAGGCACCCAGCATTAATCAATAAATTCTTAGAAGTAGGAACTTACTTCAAGATCCTGGAAACACTATTTACAGCATCCTATAAAGTCTCAACAGGCTGCAAATGATAAGAATAACATCAGATACAATACAATTAATTAAGGTTTTTAGTTGAGATAAAAAAGTCAATGGCACGAGCGGGATTCGAACCCACGATCTTCGGCTAGATACGCCACTGCTCTACCACTTGAGCTATCGTGGCCTCGATCCACTCGGACACTAACTTCCCATCTCAACCACACCTTTTGAATCTTCCCTCCTTTTTGCCATTTTTCAAATGTCGTGTAATCGGATTGGATTTGATCTCAACTAAAAACCTTAATTAATTGTATAATATTAATTGGTCAAGCGGACCATGAAATTAGTGAATTTAATTAATTAAAATGAAGTATACTTCACTAAAGCTCTCCGTAGCCATTTCATTTGTCATCAAGAATCCAATCTAGGAACGCACCCAGGCAATACTCTTTGTTCTCAAAAGCAGAGGAAATGGTGTCCACAACTCTAAAACCTTGTTGGGTCGTAGAAAGATGTGGGCGGAAGCCGAATTGGTGAAAGGGAAAAATATTATAAGTAGGACAGGGATTAATCGTTTTAAAAGGAGCCTTTCAAGGATTTTGGACATTGTAGGAAAAAGGCTGATGGGTCTGTAGGAGGATATCTGGTCGGGAGGTTTATGAGCTTTAGCAACGAGGATAACGACGGAAAATGTGAAACTAAGGAACTAGGAAAAGTATAATATGCCAAAAGCCTGCCATACAAAGCGAATACCAAATATTCGCTTCCTAGTATCCTCTCATCATCTTCATTGATAACACCATTGGCATGTTATTAAGTATATAATTTCTATTTTTTATTTATTTTTAGGGCATTGGATGCAGTTGGGATGTCCTGGGATAATATGCATCTTAAAAATATTCTCTCAAGTGATTCCTACTGCAGTCATGTTCCTGATAGTGCACTTCTTTCAGGCAGTTTTAATTCTTTAGGACAACCCCTTTGGCATGGTAATTTATCAGTAATGGTACAAATTTTTTTATTATTATGTATTTAAACTTGGGTTGTGATTACAGAAGCATTGCCATTGTGTGCTGCCCGGGTTGACGCTTTGCGATCTCACGGCCACCAGAGTGCCGCTCTAAGGCTTGCTGTTGCGGTAGTTCGAACTATGAAACAGCAACAACTAACTGCGCAGAGACAGTGGCATGAAAGTCAGCAACAACAGCTTAATGGTGAACGGTCCACGTGTGGCGATACACAACAGGCCTGCACTTCCAAATGCAAATATTCAGATCATGCCACCTATAATGGATATAGATATTGCAAGCAGAGGTTTGGAGAATGCAATTATCGAATGCAGTGCTCATCTCGGTGCTATGAAATGCACAGACAAAACTCGACTAGGTGTCTTGCAAATTGTAATATAAAATGCTGTGAAAAGGAAGATAAATCTTGTGAAAATGAAACCCCTTGCTCAAGTAAAGCATGTGCCAATGCCATGTGGTCAGAAGGTTGGATCGGGCATCCATTGGATCCCATCGGTTGTCTTTTTGACACCCTGGCCGAGGCATCGTTAGTCCATGATGATCAAGTTCCAAGAACACCATCATATTTTGGTAAAATAATTTTTCATCGTAATTATTTTATTATGTGAGTTGGAATGTTTTAATAATTAATTGTATGTATATTCCAGATCCAACTGGAGCCGATGATACCAGCCTTTCCGTACCACCAAAATACCATCATGTTGCTGTAGTCGGTTCAAGAGATCGTTCGGAAACATATCTGTCACTAGCTGTCGAAGTAGCATTAATAGGCCTCGGTCAACAACGTATAATGCCACCTGGACTATATGCACAAGTAAATCATTTTTAATTCATTTAAACTATTAGTATTCATGTAATTGATTTGTTTACTTATATATTTCTTATGACAGGAGAAAGCGTGTAAACAAGAAGACAGACTCATATCAAAACTACAAGAAATGGAACTTGACAATGGTCTAGTTGCCGTTCTTCGCAGGCAAGCAATTGTTTTATTAGAAGGTGGTCCGTCGAGCGGCCTTGGCATTGGAATTCATGCTGAAAGCATCCCAATGCATACATTCGCAAGGTTTCTTTTTCATTCTCTTCTTAACTTTTACCCCGATCTTGCCTATGAAGTTGGATTAAGGGCCATGAGGTATGTTAAACTAGCAATTTAAATATTTTAACGATTTTAATTAAACATTTTTTTCAGGCTTCCGATACTTGAAGATCAAGAAGATAGTGACGATCCGCTAAATGGGGTTCTTACTGGTTATCCGAGATGGTTCACCTTGGGACATATTGAAACTCAACAGTGTGCCTTGGCATCAACCATGCTGAGCGCTGCCAAAGGTTTGTTGCTTGTTTTATTATATTTTCATATGAACTTGTGAACCCTAGACGTATGATAACACTGCACAATCATTTTATTGTGAAGTAGTATTGGATAACAGGCATACTCTAGACATACAATAACATTGCACAATACTCAATTAATTAAGGTTTTAAGTTGAGATAAAAAAGTCAGTGCCACAAGCGGGATTCAAACCCACGACCTTCGGCTTGATACGCTGCTACTCTACCACTTGAGCTATCGTGACTTCGATCCCCTCGGGCACCAACTTCCCATCTCAACCCCACCTTTTTGAATTTTCCCTCCTTTTTGCCATTTTGCCGCTCGTGACACTGACTTTTTTATCTCAACTTAAAACCTTAATTAATTGAATGTTATTAATTGGTCAAGCGGACCACGAAAAATAGTGAATTTAATTGCACAATACTTTTATTCTTGATATCTTGACATCTTGATTTTCATTAACTAGAGGTGTTCGTTGAGCTCCTTGCGGTAACTGATTCTTTAAAAATTTTAGTTTTTTCTTTACTAGACCTACAATAACATTGCACAATACTTTTATTGTGCTATAGTATTGGATGACAGGTGTACCCTAGACCTAAATAACATTGTACAATAGTTTTATTGTGCAACATTATTGAATGACTTTTTTGATCCTCATTGGCTGGAGGCGTTTCTTCAGATCCTTATGGTAATTGGTTCTTAAAAATTAAAATTAAAAAATTGCCATCTTTTGTTGCTCTGGGAACATCTCTTGGCATTTATATAACAATGCTTTGTAATTCAATTTTTTATATCACCATCGTGATAATCTTTATTCTTGCCATTCCACAGAGCTGGCAATTCTCTATATAGCTGTATGCAATCGACAATGAACTCCCTTCTTTAAGTTTTGTCAGTTTCTCTGCCATTTTGTCAATACAAACATGTGTGAAGTACTTGTCCTTCAAATCCTAGAAATAGATTAAAAAATATTGTGCAATATAATATGGTATTGCTTCATATTGATAATATTGATATTGCTTCATACAGTACAATCAAAATTAACCTCACTCAACTTTTGTTCAACTATTGAGCAAACTCCTTAATGTTCAAAAATATTGTGCAATATAATTGAATGCCTAAAGCGGCCCATAGACGGTCAATATTATTGTACAATATAGATTGCACAATAATTTGACGGTTGCCCCTTAACGTTCAATAATATTGTACAAAATTTTGTTTGTGCAATGAACTTGAATAGTTTGAAGGCGATATTGAAGTTTGTGCAATATTTTCCACTTTGATACTTCACAAACTGATTGATATTGCGCAATAATGCCAACAGACGGTGCAATATTTTCCAGGTTGTACAATATATTTTCAACTTTTCGTCAATCATGCAATGTATTGCACAAACATTCAATATCGACTAAACACGATCAATTAAATTGCACAACCCAAAATATTGTGCAATAATATGGGCCGCTTAAGGCCTGCTTTATACAGTAAACAGTCAAGATATTATTCCATGGTGTGTTACAGGTGAAGTGATGAGGTTACGCACTGTGTTAGAATCGTCACAAAGGCATATTCACAGTTCGTCTCATCTTTTTAAACTTGCACAGGATGCATTCCGATTCGCAACACCAGAAAATGGACCGAGACATCCAACGCTTTTGAGCGTTGCATTTGAACTCGGATTGCAGGTAAATATTTCTCCGTAATGATTGCATTTAATGCTAAAAGCAGAGGTGAAAATTATATTTATTGCTGCAAGGTTATGCGAATGACGCTTTCGTCATTGAACTGGAGGAGACGAGAAATGGTTCGATGGCTTGTGACTTGTGCGACTGAGGTTGGTGTTGAAGCTTTAGTATCCATCATGCAAAACTGGCACCAACTGTTTACTCCCACAGAGGCTACCGGTAATTTTTTTTATTGTTTATATATTTGCAATTCAACATATTACAGTAATTTACATGAAAAATGGGTTTTATGTAGACAAATTCTGACTAATTATCTTAAATTATTAAGTATAGTTTTTCACTAAGTTCGTTAAGGATAATTAGCATGTTATTTAAAGTGATTAAAGTAAAGAGAAGGTCAATAAAATATGAGTGTACTTTTTAAATTACAGGCCCTGTTGCTACCACAATTATGTCACAAGGCACTATTATGAGACTAAACCTGACATTTGCTCAACAAGAAGAACTATCAGGATGTGCTCGAACTTTGGCTTTACAGTGCACCTCAAAGGTACATCATTGAATACATATATTAAACTTCTAAACAAGATGGTTTTTAACATGATTCCATGTTCTAGGATCCCCCAAATTGTGCCTTGAATGCTTTGACCCTTTGTGAAAATGAAGCATTGTCTTTTGAAACAGCTTACCAGATTGTCATTGATGCTGCGTCCGCTATAATGACATCATCCCAACTGTTTACTATCGCGAGATACATGGAACATCGAGGATATCCGACAAGAGCATACAAACTAGCTATTTTAGCTATGAAAAAAGTACACCTTGCGTATAACCAGGTAATGTCTTATTTGCTTTTTATTAGGGTGAGTTTAAAAAATGACCTTTTAGCATCGTGTCTACCACATTAAGGGCAGTATGTTTGTGAATGGGGGGGTCAGAAATTCCAGGGGAGAAAGTCGGAATCAAACCCACATCTGTGGGGTTACGAGAGTCTAACGTCCTAACCACTAAGAGTCTACAAAATAAAGTCTAATATTAAAATAAATTGTATTCATGTGTTAATGCCATCTAGAGGTCAGCTGCTCTTTTTCTGACAATCCAACTCCATATTTTGGGCCTGTAAAAACTGTCTTATGTTTAATTTATATATTCAGATGCATACATTTTTTAGCCATGGGAATATTGCCCATTGTACTCGCTTGTTAACTGCTGTATAACTGTCCACTATTATTACACTTTATATATCTGGCAGTGTGTATGAAGTGTTTTCCCTTAACACGTTCAGTGCACCTGGTTTTACAATTTGCAAAAAAAATTCAAAAAATTCCTAAAAACGTTTGTGCCATGACCTGCATGCAGGTCATCCGTCAATCAAATTGGGCCAGTTTGGCCTTCATACAGGTCACTGGCACTGAACGTGTTAAGGAAATGGGCTGTTTCTAGGCAATCATCTTCTCGACCAAAAAGTTTCTTGGCAGAGTACTCAATGGCCTTAAGTTGCAGTTTTTTCTATGTTGATAGCATCTATCCCCAGTTTATTTAAAGTCCTCATTAATGATTGCAATGTGCCAGTAAATCTTCTTTTTGACAGAGACAGTTGGCTTTGATTAGGTTAGAGTTCGAGTTACGGTTAGAGTAGGAGGTCATGTTAGGTTAGGTTACATATCCATGATTCAATGTTTTTCCATGAAGAAGAGAAAATAATAGTGTGATGCACATGTTTAATATTGGATGTATTTTTTATGTGATGCTCAAACACCAACATGTTTCCATATGACGTGCAGCTTCGAACTTTTCTATTTGATCTTTTTACATTCCATAACTTGTTTAAGTAGAGATTAATCTAGCCTGTTGGACAGTTGAAAAGTGCTTTTGGTGGGGCAAGTTGGGGTATGGTAGAGGTTAAGTGGGTTGGACCTATTTACACAACCTATGTACATAGGCTGCACATACATCATATAATTTGTTATGTCATTTTCTAACAGGATCTTCTCTCCTGAAACTGTCTTCTGAGATACAGACAACCCTCTCACTCAAGCATTAGCTATGCACAGTCCACCAAAGTTTTTGGCATCATTGGTCATCATCTTACCTGATTACCCTGATCAAAAGGCAAAAATGGCAACTTCGCGGAAATAATTGTAAAGAGGGCAAGCCAGTTTTCTTTAAAAAAAAAATTCAAAAACTCCTGAACTTTGCCTGATGTCATTTGAGTTGCGACAATGGTCACTGCTGGTGGAATTCTCACTCATCCCATCCTGTGTTTCCTCCTAGTCCCTACAGCTCAATTCTTTTTGTTTTGTACATACTTTAATCAAAACTTTTTTGTTTTACTTTATACCTTACCTGATTGTTTTCATTTTTGTTTAAATAATTTAGGAAAATTTTCTGTAAAATTTTGGTGGGTGGTATGTTTTGGCCAGAGCAAAATAGGCTGTGTGCTTGACCCTCTGATTTCAGTCCTCAACCTCTCCCTCCATCATATTTCAGCAGTTGCGGTTTTTCAGTAAGAATCTATTTGGAAAGTAATATAAGAACCTCTTCTCAAGCTCACCTCTCTCTCCCCTTTTACAACCTTTCCCGTGAGCACCTCTCACTTTTCCCTTCAATTTTCCTTTAACATTTTCCAAAATTTCCCAACCTATTTTTCACTCCCTGAACTATAGGTCGTTCTACAGCGTTGCAATGGGGCCCCCAACTTCACAGTACGACCTTCAGTGACTGATGTGCTCTTTTTACATGGAGTAGCCTCATGGAATTTTCTGCGATTGTCTCACTACTATGCCAAATTCCGTGTGTAGTTCAAACAAAGCTGTCTGTAGCACTATGTTTTGAAATACGCTTGATTTTAGAAGCTGTCCCAACATGTCATAGAATGGAATCAGCCTATGTTTGAACTTGTGAATCAAGGTCTCTTCAGTTTAATACTTGGCTCTCTGTTTATCGTGTTTTGTTTTTTTTTTTAAACAAGGGTTCGCAACAGCAGAGGTTATATCAACCCTCGGGGTGCCGGTTTTTGAAAAAAAGCCCATTTGTAAGTATGTCGGGTTCGAATGCAGGGCCGCTAGATTCGAACCTGGGACCTTTACCTTACAGTGATGAGCGCCGTGTCAACGCCTAAACCGTTGCGGCCACCGACGCCCCCAGAATATGTCTTATCTGTAATCTTTTTGGCTCTGGCATTCTCCGAAGAGTAAATATTTTGGCTACATATTTGACAGATAATTGACTTTCATTGAAATACAACTCCATCAACTTGTGCTTTTGATGTTCAATAGCAGATTTTATTCAATTAATTAATGTTTTTAAGTTGAGATAAAAAGTCAGTGTCATGAGCGGGATTCGAACCCATGACCTTCAGCTTAATACGCCGCTACTCTACAACTTGAGCTAAGATCGAAGTCACAATAGCTCAAGTGGTAGAGTAGCGGCGTATCAAGCCGAAGGTCGTGGGTTCGAATGCCGCTCATGACACTGACTTTTTATCTCAACTTAAAAACCTTAATTAATTGAATGTTATTAATTGGTCAAGCGGACCACGAAAAATAGTGAATTTAAGCAGATTTTATGTTTTTGAACATAGTGAAGGCAGTCATGTCATATGCGAATGTAGCAATTGAACCTATTTAATTTACTAACAAAATTTATTTTTGTTGCATCTGTATATAATCTATTATTATGAAATATCCTCCTGTTTTTAACATATCAATTTGTTTCAAAAAATTTCTATTTCTTGTAGTGAACTAGATAGATTAAATTTGAAATAGTTAATCTACAAAATTGTGCGTTTTTCAGGACACTCATCCAGCAATTAATGATATCCACTGGGCGTGTGCTTTGAGCCATTCTTTGGGGAAAATCGAACTGAGCAACATGATCCCGCTGCTCGTTAAAAATGTCCAATGTGCCACTGTTCTTTCTGACATATTGAGGAGATGTTCCATCACCGCTCCTGGTATTCCTTGCCCTCACCCAAATGCAGAAACGAGTAAACATCATCACCACCATCATCACAGTCATCACCATCATCATAGGAGTAACAGCAGTTCAAACAGAGCGAGCATGAAACCTTTACCATACGACAGGCCTCCACTGCGACTACTCTTAGACGCTGCAGTGACCGCTTATGTCAATACAACTCATTCCAGGTTAACCAACATCTCCCCACGGCATTATGGGGATTTTATCGACTTTTTAGAAAAAGCGCGAGATACGTTTATACTAGCTCAAGACGGGCACGTCCAGTTTACTCAACTGGTCGAAAACATGAAACTCGCATACAAGGGTAAAAAGAAATTGATGTTTCTTGTTAAGGAACGGTTTGGCTGACTATTGCACAACGCGAGTCCACATATCAGATGATGGACTCCCCATCACCACCATCACCACGTCCAACACCACCATTATCACCACAACTGCTGTCCAAGCTGCTGTTGTTGCAAAAATCGCCATCACTACTAAACAGCAGGCAAGAAAATGCATAAGTATTAAAAATATTATCATGTTGGACGGTTTCCATTATTTGTTAAACTTCCAATGTATTGATAAAACATCGACAGTAAAAAGTAGGAACACTTGGAGAAAAAATCGTATTGTACAAAGATTAAGGATCTAAACCACAATCACATAGGTGTATTGTTTTGCCAATCAAAATAATTATATTTTTTAAAAGTTTAGTTATTTCAATTAACTAAGACCGAAATGAAAGATATTATCCACTTTTTGAATTTGATTTGGATATTTTATTTTTATTAGCTGATTATAAGATCTCATTTTTTTTAATTTAATTTCATTTTAAGCTTAAAAAATGTGATAAATATAAATTATAACTTCATAATGTTCTACAAGGTTTATTAGTGTAAAAAAATTCAAATAAACTTTAGACATAATGATTTCATCACTGACTATTGTACTATTGTTCAAATTTTTTTTCCTTTTTAAATGAAGAAAATTCTTTAATGAAAAATGCAATTTGAGACTTTAAGAAAACTATTATTTCGTACCACAGTATTTTATTATATTCTAACTCATCATTAGTAATCATTATTACTAGTCAATTTTTTTTCATCCAAAATTAACTCTATTGTAAAGATCTAAAACAAAAAAAAATTGTGGGTAATTTCCTTATTATTAAGGTGATTAAGACAGTTAATTATAATCAACACCTGACCTGATTCTGTACCTTGCGTCAAAAACAAAAGTAAGACGAAATATATTTCAACGTTGTTTTTTATTTGTCAAAATTGTACCTGGGCAAAAAAAAAATAATTTTTGCGTAAATATTTTTGATACGTAGTTTTACTTTGACCCTTTAGCATTATATTTTGTAGCGCGCTTTTTTTTCTGTTTTTTTCTGCCGCTGCTTTCTGTTAATTTTCAAAACATATGACCTACCTGCCAGTCCCACTGGTTGGAATATTTCAGCTTCCCTAAAGATCAGCTGCATTGAATGTCTTAACATTGATTTTTTTTCCAAATCACTCCAATGTAAAATGAAAACTATTATAGAATATTTGCATAAACATATTTTATATTATTTTTTATTATGTTTTATTTGGTATTTTAAGTGTTAAAAATTTATTTTCATAAAACGGTTCAACTAGCTCATAAGAAATTGATTAAAAGAGAAACGGAAGGAAGAAAAAAAAAAGGCAGTGGCTGAAGCTTAGTATTATTATTATTATTTTTTTTATCTAATTAATTCAACCAGAAATATTTTTTGACATTAGTTATAATTAACATTGAGCAGTATTTTCATTCTTAATAAACCCTGGCATTTTTCTGTGTTGCAGTAAGATTTGTGTTCAATCAATTTGGCTTATCGACGGTATATGCTGTAAATAAAACAAACCGAAAGAAAAAATTGTATAAACGAATGTTGGTTACATATTATTATATATACTTGTATATAAAAACAATTATACTAAGTGATTAACACGTATTATTCACTCATACTGCTGCTTACGATGAGTTACAGTTGATTTCTTGCAATTGGATTATGTTTTAAAGTGGAAAATTGTATTCGAAAGTGATACTTCTTGCACGTTGAAATATAATCATAGGATTTACAATACATGAGGTTCCTGATTTTGTAATGCAGTATTTTGTAAATATTTGCTATAAACTAGATCTCAATTATTATAATGAGTTCCAAAGCTCCTAAATCTTGAGTTTTTTTATATATAAAAAAATTGTATTAGTCAATTTTGACTGATGAGCTTCCATGTGATTGATTATTAGTTATGTTCTTAATTTGTTAATTTTGTTGTGTTTGATCATCATAGCTCCAAGTTTTAAAAAAGGGAAAAAGTCAATTTTTTACATTAATCTTTTTATGTTTTAGCATACCTTTTTTCTTTTTTTAGAAAAGCGAACAAATGATGTTAATGTAATTTAAAGGAGCAAAAAATGCTAAAAATATAAACTATGTGTAATTAGATATTAATAAATACCAAAGATAGAACCTTTTGTAAATATTTAAAAAAATCTGTATAGATTAGGAAATGACGTTTAAGTTCTCTTTGACTTTTCGTAATTTCAAACAAAGTTTATTATAAAATTTGTTTTTTTATGTTACAAAGATGACCTGAATACAAATTACCTATTTGGATATTTAACTTAACTGTTTTCTCCTTTATTTTTTAGTTTTTACATATTTTAATAGTTTTAGTTTATTGGCTTGGAAAAAATTGTTTTTTTTTTCTTCAAAATCGAATATAGTGCAATCTGTTTATAAATTATTGTATTTGTTTCATATTTTAACTTTTGTACATAATTTTATTATATTTACAATTTTTTTTTATACATTGGTTATTGGAAAAGAAAAAAATAGTAGCCATAGAGTTAGTCATCCATACATTTTTAAGAAATCTCCTTGTTAAAAACTTTAATGTTAATTTGTTTATTTTATTTATCGATTTATTTTAATGAAACACGTTCAGATATAAGTATAGAAAAGTGGTTTTATTTTGTTTTTTAAACTAAGACGATTGAGGTAAAAGATTTTATAATTATTGAATTGCTTGTCACAATGTTTGAAACGTCTTGAGTACGTGCTACATTTGAATATTGTAGCTGTGTTTTGTAGTGAATATTTTTGTGCAGTTTTATTACTTTTTAATCATTATTTTTTTCAGTATTTTTCTAGTACCATATATGCGACTTTTGATACAACGGCTGTAAGATAAATTATCAGTTTGTCGAATCTAGCGTACAATAAATTTAAAAAGGATTTTACATAGCAAAATTTGACAGATTTATTTTATTATTCAGCAACGTTTTGAAATGTTTAAGTGCAATTTCGTGTCTACAAAACAAGCTGACGTCCCACAATTTACAAACTAGCTTATAAATTTGTTTACAAAATTTTTGTTCTCACAATGATCAATATTTTTATTTTTCAAAATGTTAAATTATTCTATATGTGGGATTCTGTTTTGTTCCTATTAATTAATTAAGTGTAATATAATTATGATGCATACTTTGTGTAAAAGATTAAATTTAGAGGAAACATAATGTGCTGACATACTTTCTAAAATCAATTGGTAATGAAGTTAGATTTAATCTCAATGTTGCCTTTGATATATTAACTACAGGTTAATACAGTACGTAAAATGACTGATCTTATGTGTATTACCAAATGATTCCTTACTTATAATGAAGTCTTTTGTGTAAATTAATTAAACTTGTTTTCCAAAGTAAAATTTCGAATAGTTTTTTTCCTTTTCACCTATACAATCAAAGCGCGGTTGAAGAGTGGTTAGTGAGTCTGACTTGTGTTTGCCTTGTTAGCAGGTTCAGTTTTGTAAAGCCAGTAGTTATTTATTTTTTTAAATTTTATTTATTACAAATACAGGCTTAGAAGCCTAGTATCACAAGAAAAAATCAAAAGCAAGATAAACACAATATAGATTCATTGGAGAATGAAGCACCTATACCGTTGTGGCCATCGACACCCCTCCTTATTAAATATACATTGATGGGCAAATTTAACGCACCACTCAGTTTATTTAGTTTAAAATTAAATCCATTATCTTTCTATATTAGTTACAGTTAATTAGGAGCTATCGTAGTAAAAAAAACTAAATAATGGTTTATTACTTCATTTGTGTACTTTTGTACTGATTAACCCCATTTGCACAAAAAGAAGCATTATTATGCCCTTCAATTCTACTATGCCTAAACATCGCTTTCAGTTAATCTTTTTCCTTTGTTGATTGCATTTAATATTATTCTTAAATTGATTAATGTTTTTGGTTGAGATAAAAAAGTCAATGGCACGAGCGGGATTCGAACCCACGATCTTCGGCTAGATACGCCGTTGCTCTACCACTTGAGCTATCGTGACCTCGATCCACTCGGACACTAACTTCCCATCTCAACCCCACCTTTTGAATTTTCCCTCCTTTTTGCCATTTTTCATCTCGCTCGTGCCATTGACTTTTTTATCTCAACCAAAAACATTAATTAATTGTAATATATTAATTGGTCAAGCGGACCACGAAATTAGTGAATTATTCTTAAACCTTTTTCAATAGCACCAGTCAGGTCTTTGAGTGAGTATGACAGTGTCAGGGTCATAATGTTATTAGAGTTAGGTTAGATAGTAGGTCTCCAGGAGACTGGAGGACAAAGTTACTACTTTACAATAGGAAGGGTTCTTTGGTGATTCTGAGAAACAGAGTTTCACACTATACAGCCAGTTAATGTAGGTCTACAGACCAGAGAGACGATAGATTCATCCGTCATCAGGCTCTACAAAACCACAGCATTACGGGAAATGAGACCAGAAATCTCATAATGCAAATACAAAATATTTAGATTTCCTCCAGGACTGTAAGAAGAAAGCTCAATTTAAATAACCTCAGGGCCTGGCTCGCGGCTCGTGGACCTCTTCTTATCACAGCTCAGAAAATGGCCATGCTTCAATTCGCACGGGATCATGTGAATTGGACATTGGAAGATTGGGTGGGAACTAGTATCTTCACAGATGAAGTGATAGATGGCCTCAATATTAACATTATTTCATTACATTTACATTAGACATAGCAACATGTGGCATTAAGGGTTAATATTGTGTATAAGGTTTTATCTCAACTAAAAACTTTAATTAATTAATTAAATAGTGAATTTAATAAGTTAAATGAAGTATATCTTCACTAAAGCTCTCCGTGGCCATTTGATTTGTCGCCGAGAATCAAATAGATTACATGACATTTGAAAAATGGCAAAAAGGAGGGAAAATTCAAAAGGTGCGGTTGAGATGGGAAGTTAGTGTGCGGGTGGATCGAGGTCACGATAGCTCAAGTGGTAGAGCAGCGGCGTATCTAGCCGAAGATCGTGGGTTCAAATCCCGCTCGTGACTGACTTTTTTATATCAACTTACCTAATTACCCTTACTTAATTGAAAGATATCAATTGGTCAAGCGGACCACGAAAACTAATGAATTTATAAGGTTAAGGTTAAAAAAGTTGGTCTCTTTATGACCTTACACACTGCGACCGATATTGGCCTATTGTGCAATCTCCATTAATATCTAGAGCTCTTAAGTTAAGCTTAAGGATTTTTACCAGGTCCCAAAGCTTTGCTAAGGACTCCCATGTTTTCAGGTCTTTTATTCCTCTCTCTGGGGTAAGAATCGCTGCTTGCATAGGCCTCCGTACCAACAGAAGACATTCTGTCTCTTCTCCCTGAAAATTTCAACAAAGGTTTCTGCTGCTACGAGTTTATATGTATGCCCACGGAGTCCATTGGCCAGTCATTCTTGTCCTCCTTTGACGAACTGTTTCGCATGCCTCTCCTAGAAAACAATCACATTGAACCTGACTTACTCTTCAACCATTGCCTGATGGATCTACACTTTTGGCAGTTCAGATGCAAAAGGATTGAACTTTACTTGGTAAAGTTATCAGCCCTTTGGTTGCTCCTCTGCTCTATATGCCCTGGTATTCAAACAAGGGTGATTTTTTTTCACAAATTTCTTTTATTGCTAATATCTAGCATTATGATTTCCCTATCACAGTGTTCATTAGACATAGTCTCTGCCTGAAAGACATTGAAAAATGGCAAAAAGGAGGGAAAATTCAAAAGGTGCGGTTGAGATGGGAAGACATTGGGCATGCTGCCCATATACTTACGTGTTTATGTCTGCTTCTGCTCTTAAGTTTACATTTTTACATTGAAATTTCTAAAATATTGATATCAATGATACATTTTTGGAAAGATTTTTCCCTATAATTTTAGACCTTTTAATGTCTAAACAGGTCATCTCTCCAGCTTCTGTTAATGATTTTGATTATTTTGTCCAGTTTCAGTATTTGAACTTTTAAATATAACAATTAATTAAGGTTTTTAGTTGAGATAAAAAAGTCAATGGCACAAGCGGGATTCGAACCCACGATCTTCGGCTAGATACGCTGCTGCTCTACCACTTGAGCTATCGTGACCTCGATCCACTCAGACACCAACTTCCCATCTCAACCCCACCTTTTGCATTTTCCCTCCTTTTTGCCATTTTTCATCCCGCTCGTGCCATTGACTTTTTTATCTCAACTAAAAACCTTAATTAATTGTAATATATTAATTGGTCAAGCGGACCACGAAATTAGTGAATTTTAAATATAACCTTCAGAGGTCTAATTTAACCGGGACCAGTCATTACAGTTGCAATTAATAATTGTCAGATAATTTCATTATATTGTGTAGGTAGAGGCAAAATAAAATAAATTATTATAATAACAATATATATTTTTATCAAAGCTATGCATGGATGTACAAAGTCACAGTATCAGTTGAACAATGCATTCACAAATTTTCCAACTTACTCATTGTATAACAACATTGAACGTTTTAGAGATGAATCTAATTTTATTCAACCAAAAAAATAATTGAATAAAATTGTATGGTTTTTATAAACAAATTGTTAAGAATACCATTTTCTTTCTAAATCAGAAGTTCATTATATTTCCAATTTACTAGAACGCATTCAATCAAATATGCCTCAAAAAAGTTGAGAAAGTAAAATTCAGAATGGAAATAAAGTAAAAATCGGAAAAAATATTGTGTATTATGATTATTCAATACAATGAAAAGAAACCATATTTAAGTGAAAGCGACAAACGTTATTTCTAATTTATATTTTGATAGCTGTTTCTTTTACCCAACCCATGTTCTAACTCAATGAAAGTACTTTAAAACTATAATTTATATAGTAATAATCCAAGGGATGTAAACCACAAATATCCAAATAATATCCATTTTGTTCTCACAAAAAAAAAAAAAATCAATAGACCCAAGTATGCAAGAAACAATAAGCACCATACATTTACACAATATTGTTTAATTTAACTGCAAAAAGTATCTTTTGCAAAAGAATAACAATAAAAAAAGTGTTAAAAACAAACTTTTAAGTGCTGTATAGCATACGCGCATACACAAGAATAAAAACTGCTTTATCTATACATGAAGTTGTATTTTTTAAAACATACATTTGCAGTTTGTATGACTACCTTTCACGTTGAACTATTTTAACTCAAACATTAGTATTAATTAACAAATTAAACATTTTTTCAAAGATTACAATGTGCACTGTACATTGTTATGTCAATAAATAATAATAATAATAAATAATATCCCTTATAAAAGTCTATAATCTACAATAAAAAAATGAAGTATCATATGCGGATAATGCTTTGGAAGCATTCCTTTAAGATTTTGCGGGAGAAATATTTAAAATAGTCAATTACTGTAGGAAAAATATATAAATGGCACACATAATTAATTAATTAATTTTTTCTTGTTTTACCAGATGATAAAAGACTGAAAATGAAATAAATACATGTGCCATAAACTTTAGGCATGGGTTTTTTCATACATGATTTTACTATCTACAGGAAAGGTTCTCATTTCAATATTTGCATGTTCACAAAACAATACTCATATAAAAAACACTTATTAACATATCGTAGTATTTTATCTTTATTCTTATTATAATTAGAAACAGTAACTATCAATTATTTAATATATAAAAAACGTATCACATGTTGTTTCTGAGATGTCCAAATTTTTTCTCATTTTCTTTTTCTTTTTTTTAAATATAGTTTTTGTAACTCTATTTATGAAACTTAACAATAAATATTTAACAATTATATACAGATTATATTACACTTGTATGAAAAAATTATACAAAAATACGTTATACATATTAACTTAACACAATAATAAATAATTTGGTTCACAATACAGTGTGAATGAAGGATCACACAGGTTTAATTTTTTGATCTTATCATATTAGTCAAATATAAATAAATACTGTACAAGTTAAATGTAGCGCTTTCCGTTTCAATTGATCCCTAAGGGGTTGTTTTTATTTCGAGAAAGCATACTTTTAAGGCTGGCGACTTCTGAAGCTAGGCGGGCGACTTCAGATTTCAAATGAGAGTCTTCATCTTCATTTTCAATCGGGTTGTGAGGAAGAGGTGAAGAGGGCGTAGGATGGCCGTCGGGAACATTGTGTGTAGAGATAATCCATTCTGCGCCTAGAGAGATGCCCGAATCGCGTTCATCACTGCTGCCTTCACCGTCCCACGGTGGGCTTGCTCTGGAATTCGGTTCCTGCTTGATATTGTGTAACGAGAGAAGGGCCGTTGCTGCTACATCTTTGTCACCAAGATGACTTTTATGTCTCAGCTTGTGCGGTAGGCTGTTGTTAGAAGATGTCGGTAGGTCGACTGGAGGCAGGTCGTAAGGAGTGGGCGAAGTGCGCCGACCGCTCCTGCTCAGATTGAGAACACTGTTTCCTCCAGCTTCCAGGGCAGGAGGATTGAGAGGAGGTAAAACCGGAGGAAAATGTGGAAACGGATACCTGTCCACGTCATTGTAACTTTCACTGTCTGGATAAGCCTGATTTAGTGGTGCAAGCGGTGGAGAAGAGCTGTTCGACACTGTCCTGTGTATAACAGGTGTCGGATGGGAACTCGGTTGATAAAGAATGGGTGGAGTCAATGGAGCATTTGCAATTTTTGCACGTTTTGTCATACTGAGTACTTGATCGTTTGTAGGCAACGTTGCCATGACCTGCTCAACATTAACGATCGTTTCTCCACTGATGCCATATTTATCTTTAATTGCAGATAATTGAGCCTTTAAGAAATGATTTTCTTTACTCAACTCTACAACTCTTTGTTCGAGTATCATATCGTTGTATCTTCTCTTCTCTCTCGATCTTTTAGCAGCTTCATTATTCCTTCGCCTTCTATCCCAGTAGCTTTCATCTTTTTTGTTGTCTGGGATAAATTCTCTCTGCTTCCTCTGTGAAAACAAGTCTTTACGTTGAAGATGGTTGTTCAATTCAAAAGTGGAAGTATAATTATCAGGAAGAGTATTACTAGCCTCTGGACTGGAATTGGTATCACCCTCTCTGCCCATCAAATTCAAGTCTACGTTTGGCTCAATAAAGCAATAAGTGGACCCTCCAGTCATATTGCCATTTGTCGGAATGTTGTTGTTACCATTGGTAGAATTGTTATTGTTAATCGGGGCAGCAGGCTGATGAAGGGTTTCACCATTCACTGGCGAGTTATTAGGGCGTTCAATAAATTCACCAACCATCATGTGGAATGGATGGGATCTGAAAAAAAAAATTACATTATTTTCATTAGGCATCATTTTATTTAAAGAATTCACATGCAAACAATGTAAAATCAAATAAACTAACATTTATTCTTATTTTGTGGTGTCATGATAAATTTTTATACAAATCTGTACATACCAACATTGAATTAATTTTTTAATTGACTATATACAATAAGGCACTTTGAAGGGCTGGATGTTAGTAAATTATTGCTATCCATTACAAAATTTACAGTTAATTTCAAGTTGCTTTTGTTTCAACAACTGGGGGGATTATTACTTGGAGAACTGAACTCAATGGATTTTAATCAGTTTTAATGGTGTTGGCCATTTAAATTGAATTGTGTTTCGATAAAACACCAATTAAAAATTATCATTAAAATTTTTTTTAGCTTCAAAATGTATGAATTTTGAACATGGATGTTTTTGGGATGATTAGGTTAAGTTAGATAAGGTTAGGTTACACATCCATGATTCAATGTTTTTAAAGTAATTAACTTATTTAAAAGTAATTAAGTCTAATTTCTAAATCAGATTTTGTATTGTGTGTTTCATGGCAAGTGATGAATCTGAATGGTTATTTACCACTTTTTTTGTAACTTGTATTATAGTAAGTACAAACTATTGCCAAATGACCAAATTTAACTTGTATTAAATCAAAACAAAGCTGTATCGATCACATTATCCATTGTTAAAACCAAATCGGGGCCATAAAACTTTCATTCTCTTTAAGTTTTCATAAGTTTATCCCACTTTTTCATTTATTTGGCAAAATTTCTGAGAAAAAAATAACTCCTCCAAACTCATCTTTGAAGGCTCTAACGACATTCTAGTGCTACAGTTTGGTATCTTCCTTTGAGCCAGAGGAAGTTTTCTTAGACGTTAAACCTTGGATGGATTGTGGGATCAAAGGAATCCTTTTTTATTCACTCATAAAATCATCCTAAAATCCTATTCTACGAATCCATCCTTATACCCACTTAAACACTGCAATCCTGATAGTCCTCACATATGCAGAAAATACCATCATCCTTTCAGCAAATCCAGTCCCAGTGGCCTTCAGAAGCCTGCAGGGTCTATCTCTTGTTTGGAAGAATGGTTCAAGAAATAGAAAATCAGACTTAACAAAATCCCAGCAAATAACCTTTAATCTACAACCAATCGATGTCATCCATTATTTGGGACTTTACATCGACAAAAGACTTAGAGCCACCACATTTGACTCAAAAGAACAGAACTGAACAGAATGTATAAACTACTCAAAAGACAACAGATCAAAACACTCACTATAAAACAAACACATCTGCACATCATTACTAAAAGTTACCACTTCGATTCAACCAAGTTCCAATTTCCAAAGAATCCAGACTCCAGTCCAAAATTCTTCGAATCTTTTTCCAAGACCCCTTTGCCTTCAACCCTAACACCACTAATCTTTCGGATCCCATTTGTCCTCAATACCTAAGAAGTCGACACAAACGACTATATAAATATCCCAGACCCTCATCCCTACACCTTTCATCCAGAACCCTTCCTAACAATCCTCTAAGGCACCTAAATTGTTCATCATTTCCTCCCTGAGAATAGTGCCATGATAGGAGTGTAATTATTGGATTACTTCTCCACTCTTATAATGTTATAATACAAAATGTATACAGACAAAAATGTCGATTGTAGCGCTCTAACACTGTTTCAGCATAATAATTGTTTAAATTAATTTTGTGCATAAAGATACAATATTTCAACATCTATTTACAAAAAGTTTATTTTGACAAACTGCAATGATTAATAATGCCAATCTTTTAAATTGCATTGATTTCCTCTCGCATTCCTGGAAAATGACCACTTTAAGAAGACTTTGTTTGAAAAAAGAGTGTGAATCATAATATTTGATCTATCAAATTTTATCAGTACATTCTACGAAAGTGACGCGCTCCCCTTGAAGTGAAAACACACAACAAACACACCAGTTCTTATTGATTAGTAAACTCATTTGAATATTTTTTATTTGAACATTTATAGTTAAAGTAGTTTCAAATCAAGGCAGGGCTGTATGTATACGACTAGTTGAATAATTTACAATACAAATATGCTTTTTATGTATATAAAGCCTGCAGAAAATTATCATTTAAATCATGATAACCATTTTTTCAAAATATATGAGTACTGGCATTATACTGGCAGGTGCTGATTATTCAAAATGTTAGATTCATACTGAATAAGTCCAAATATAAAACAATAACATAAAAGACTTCTCACACTCCTAATGATTTTTTTTTCAACAATATTAACAAATCTTCAAGAATGGAACTGAATTCACAGTCATATGTGTGAGTTAACACAATGCTGAAAACAAAGAGCATTTCTGTTAATAAAGACAAGGGTGTCTCTTGAGCCCTATAACATTTTTTTCCTTGAAAGTGGTGTCCACATCGGTAACACAATTTATCAAAGAAGTTTGGATTGAAAGGATTGGAAACGTTGGATATTGGAAGGTTTAACAGTACCCACAATTTTGCACATCCGAATTGATTGTAGTTTTGTAAAGTGTAAGTTTGTTTTGTATTGATATCCCTTAAGTAGAGTAGACCCTTTAGGTCTTGCCGTTTTAGTCGCGTATATTGATTCTATGTATGTTAATCATAAATCTAGGTGGAACCAAAGGTATGCAGTCAGATTTGGGAGGAAGATTGTTATAGGAGAATGTGAATTTGCTTCGTTGTGTAACATATGATTCGTTGTGGAAACACTTCTATTTATCTTCATTTTTCATAATCTACATCAATGTGCAAAACATGTAATATTTCACTACAAGTATTCCAAAGCAACTGTACAACTGGGGTTAGAAGATAGTGCTGCTGTATCATCAGCGAAAGATGTGAGTTGTAGATACAAACGGGACATCTGTGATTTAAAGTACATAGAGGATTGGTCAAAGCATACTGCGGTACTCCCATAGTCCAAGTAATGTGATCCTTGTCGAACCCGAAAGAGCCGCTCTGATTTAAGTAGAGGTGTTTATAAGAACATGCTATAATTTGTACTTATGAGGACTTTAGGAAGGATTGGAGACATTGGGCATTGGAAGTTTTAGCGATTTCCCACAGTTCTCATGTCTGAATCGATAGCTTCGACTGTCATCACAAAAGTAAAGTAGTAAACCGCTGTTTAGGTCTTGCCGTTTTAGTAGCTTTAGCCATACCACATGAGTCTAGGTAAAACCCAGGGGAATGAAGACAATCAGATTTGGAAATATGTTGGAACTATGTAATAGATTGTAAGATATTGGCTGTTTGTTGGCAAAGTTAACTAAAGTAAATTAATTCCTATCTTACAGGAGGGCTTAACATCCAATTACCCATTAGGTGTCACGGAACGAGGGGTGAAACCTTTTTACATATTAAAATCAATTAAAAAAACAATGGAATTTGACAGAATTAGAACCTAAGGCAAATAACGTGGCAAATACAAGTTGGACGGATTTGTGGTGACTGCCTGTGGTTAACTTGTTGTCCAGTAGGTTTCACCACTACTTCAACAAATGGCTTTCCATGCTGCAACCAATGAGCTTGCAGCAGCTCTGTACAGCTTAACCTACTTAATGCACTCGTCGACTAGATCTCAAATAACTTTAATAGTAGAGTAAGCTGTCAGCACTAGCTACAACACGGTTACTACGAATGCATGGGTTCAAACTGTCTCCACTATGTAATAATTTCACAGCGGAGCTACTAGCAGTACAAAAAGCCTTCAATATACTTTCCGCCCCCTACAATCAGATCGTTGTCTGCACCGATTCGTTATCGGTTTTGATGGATTTAAGGAATCATTTCTCAAACAATCAGCTGATAAAAGACATTTTTCGCCGATTAAAACAACTGCAGACCGCAAATGTAAATGTGACGTTCACTGGTCACCACAGCATTGTGGCATCAACGGAAACGTGAAGGCAGACTTGACAGCAAAACTGGGTACGCGCAACGGAGACCCCTATCAGGAAGTTCCTCTAAATGACTTCCTCTCTTGTTTAAGGTGCTACATGGCTGAAATGTCAAAACGAACGGGAAAACACCAACGACAACAAATTAAGGGGAATAAAATACACCTTCCGAACGTGGAGCTTATCTGCGAGAGAAAACCGGCTAAGGAAGTGGTCTTGACCAGACTCAGAATAGGGCACATACATCATCCACACGGGTATCTAATGACACTGAGTTCTCCACCAATGTGTGAACGCTGTGATGAGCCACTGTCGATGAGGCACATTCTGGTAGACTGCCCCAGTTCTGAGCATCTTCCATCCAGGAGTCTGGATCAATTGTTTTGGTTCCTTAAAGCCTCCAAACTATACCAGAAAATGTAGCATACAGATGAAACCAATATATGATACTCCAAATAAAATAACATCCTCAGTAAATATGTAACACACAAATTAGTCTTGTTCATGATCTGATTTATCGTACTCCATCAAGTATAGTTAAGGTAAAATAATTATTTGTTAGGTAAGGAATCAAGGCAAAATAGCACAAGTGGTTTTAGCCTTAAAAAAGTACTCGCAGCCGACGTGGCTGCCTTCTCAGGGCCACTAAAGATTGCTATCGTCACAAGGCATGTCTGCTTAAGTTAAATAAGGTGTTTTTTTAGTCAAATTTTACTTTTTTTATAAGGAGATTACCAATACAAAAAATGTTGAACAGTCACTGGCTCATTTATTGGGTCCGTTTACACTCTCGGATTTTGATGCCATTCGGCCAGACGGACCCAGCCAGTGACCCAGAGCCGGCTCAACTATCTACCAACTCCCAGACCAAAATTCACCATGAAGTAATAGATTGTTGAACTTCCACTTCAAACTTTGACCAAAGGCGACTTTATTCACGAATTTAAGACTGGACAGTTTAAAAGGGGTTGGGGGTTGGTTGTAAAGAAAATATAAAAGAAAATATAAGAATCCCATGGGCAAGTTTTTCAATGTATAAATATTTAACCCAAGGCTTCGGTTCCGTCTTTCTCCTCTAAAAACTAGGTTGAACAGGACAGAATTTCACCCCATGTCAGCAAAGTAGGGCCTAAAGTAGGATTTAACGGTACTCTCCCACTCCCGCACGACGTCCGCAACAGCTGCGTTTTTAAAAATTGTTGCATCACTACTCAGGCCTTTTTGTTATTGTTGTTGTTCAGCTGTTTCTTTTATATCTACATAAACACAAAGTCGGATAAGTTTGAACGCTTTAGATACAGTTAGGAGTACCTACGTCAGAGTTAAACCATTCTCCATCTTCTTCGACAACAGCCCACAACCTGAGCGATTCCTAGAATAGGCAAAAATTGGATTAGAAGAAAAATAGACTTAGAAGATTAGTTAAAATTAGATATGAGAGCCCAAAGGTATTGGAAAGAAGCAGGCTGAAGGAGAATGAAGGAGGCACATAAAATCGCATAAGCATAAGTTCTATGATGAACGAAAATTCGAAGTCTGAATTGTTATTGCAATCGAAAACACTTTTCTAAAAGCAGGACAATATCTTTATTTACAATACATATGTTTAATATGACTTATGTAACAATTGGACAACAACTATTGACTCTCCGTAACGATTGTTAACATTTTTGCGTAAGTTATGATAAATAGGGTGAAAATAACATTAAACCAATCACCTCCGGAATAAGCAGGGAACAAAGATAATTTTCCATCATACATCATATTAATACAATTAATCAAATAATTCTTAATCATAAATTCATTTTCAAAAATCAAGGCGTCGAAGAAGACAGTACAAACCAACAAGGTATGGAACAATATCTGTAAAGACTAGAGTGACTCTAGACAAAAGACGTGTAGGACTAGGCGACACGTTATACCACACTCTATTGAATTGTTCAATCGAAGAATTGTTTGAGCAGGATTTGAAGGAAAAAGGATTACAAATAAACGGCAAATATCTATCGAACCTAAACTTCTTGGATAATGTTATCTTTGCGACAAACCCAACCCAAATAAAAGAAACAATGAAAGAACTCGGTAAAGTAGGAGAAGAGGACTGGAAATACCGAAAATAAAGATGAAATCCTGACAACCAATGTAAAATTGAACTGAGTGGAAAGCACTACAACTGATCTTCGTTACAGAAAGTGACGGATCGCAAATTGGAGCTTAACAAGCAAAATAAAATAAAAATCTACCTGCAACACGCCATGGAAAAGATGCTGGGGGGTTTATATTTCCAGAAGATAGAAAAAACGTCTTATAGAATAGCTTGACATCCAAAAGCTTGTTGGGTTTCAAGGACTATGGGGTCAGATCCACTTTACAATACTTTTTTAAACTTTATTTTCGGGTGAAAAGCCATGATCTAGGCATGGATGTGAAGCAAAAGCAAACTTTGCCACAGCGGATATTAAAGACAAAAAAAGAAATGTAACATCAAATATCCTAAACAATATCTCATACAAAACATTCTGGGCAGGCCACATGACGAAAATTAAGGATGAAAGCAAACAACATCAAAGCAGACAACCTGGTCCGTTTCTGTGACACCGATTGAAAACAGGGCAGACTTTGCCCAAATAATGCTATTTATTTTTATTATTACATTGTAGTAACCCAGTAATAAACATTTGGATCTAGACCTAACTGAAGGATGCAACTCCTTGGCTCTATACAGAGAGCGTGAAGGAATACCACCCGATAAGCGAATCGTGCTGAGCACGGCACCGAGTATCTGGGTCGACGAGACGGCTATGACCGGGACGACCCAACCTTCGACTTAATTACCGCGATCCGGCCCTCTCACGCTAAAAATGCAATAAAAAACACGAATAAAAGAAAGTGGTAGGGTCTGTCGGCAGAGAAACTCTCACGAATCAAAAACACTGTACATGGATGGCTCTCGGAGGATCTGCCTCATAAAAGAAAAGATACCCCCTCACACGATTAAGGATAGGCCATGCCAGGTTGATACATGGGCACTTACTTTGGATCAAAGCCCGTGTATGTTTCCGGCAAGTAGAGAAAGGTTGCTCGAGCTAACTGACGGGTGTAATTCCTTGGCTCTATATAGAGAACGTGTAGGAATGTCACCCGATCTGAGAATCGTGCTTGAGCATCTGCATCCCAAGTTCCGAATTTTGTAGCAAGCAGGGTTAGTTTATTTTATATAATACTGATAGTTTTGTGTACTTTGCATGTGTTGAGAGTGAATATGTAGTGTAAGAGGGCTGATAGTGGAATATGCTAAAAGGATAGGTCTGCCAACACCCTGGTGATTCTCCAAACTTGCAGGTAATTTGGTTCTAAACATAAAAAATCGAATTAGATGGGTGCCTGTGGTTAACAAAAGTTTCCACTGTCTCACTACAGCTTCAATAACACTTCCCCTTTCAAGCAGTAACTTACGAACTCGCAGCACTTGCTTAGAATAGACTCGTCGACGAGATCTCCACTCTAAAGGAGCAGGCCGATAACACCATAAGCAACTGGGTCCTCTCAACGGCTTTCACAGCTTCCTAAACATTCCATCATTTATTTTTCTAAAACTTCCGATCAGCTTAATAGCCAAACACGAGCAGAGGGAAGGGAGAAAAAACTAAAAGGCTAGACTCACGCAAACCTCAAATTTCGTTACAGTGGAGATGATTTAACACTGTACATGTTGGTTTCTACATGAAGGCTGAATTTTATTCTCTAAATTTTAATAACAAGGTACTAAATATGGTTGATTACCTCGTTATGTACTACAGAGGACTTAGCAGTAAATTACTCCTCCGTTTCAAGCAATAAACGTATATTATTTATTTTTAGCAAACAGGTTCCCCTTTATAGAATACACTTAGGGATATAATTTTTTAAATGAAATTAACCCTTTTTGGCCTAAATTTGCCTTAGAGCAACACTAAATTTAGCAATTTTGTTAAAGGTTAACGATAATTTCCACTTTTAGGGCGCAGTGTTGTTCCTAATATTCCTGTCTATTGGCAACACTGATTTTATTGTCGCGAATCTAAAATCTCCATCTTGGAATCTTCAAAGTCCATCCTTTTTCACCAGAGGTAAGTTTCTTGAATAATTGCTTGATTTTACGCTAGCGAATGATTCCTTATGTTCTGTATCTGTTCAAAACATCAGAAACCCAATTTGTTTGAATCTTTGCTGAATGCAATGTGTTTTAATGTCACATTTAAGCAATGACGTAAAAATACAACTTGATAACCAGATGGAGGTTACCTCTCGTTCACTCTGCTATGCTAAACTCATAAATTCATTATTGAAGCCACATTAAGCTCACATTGAAAACTTTATAATATAGCAATTACAATAAATATTAAGGGTAGATATTAATCACATCAAAGACACGATCACTTGGATACCATGAATTAGTGAAATTTTCTTTTTTTTCGTCATCAAAACAATGAGATACAACCACTGAAGGTGGCCAACACAGCGACGATAGGCGGACCAAACTAATCGCTAACTAGCTATTATAACGGAAAAATCTCAAAAAGGAGGTGCTTCTGAACTGGAAACTATATTTTTCCTCAATCGAATAAATATTGTTTTTATATTAACATTCAGAGATTCACAAATTACAATCAGCATTTGCACAACTCACTGTTTTAAATAGAAGAAAAATATGAGAACAATGCATTTAAAACTTTCGAAGGAAATGTTAAGAAAAGAAGAAGAAGAAGCGAGTATTCTCAGGTAGTTTATAATCGCGGAGATCTGGTTTGAAGTGGGTTTTATTTATACCAAGGTCTCAATATCTAAGAAAATGTCATTGGCTGTTTATTTTTATCTTGTTTATTGATAGATAATTAGGAGAAGGTTCTGATTTGAAATAATTCATATAATAAGATACAATTTAAAGAAAAGTTTTACTATTTCCAAAGAAAATAGAGTTTAATGTAAATTATGAAAATGTGCGCATGTAGGGTGGGCATTCGGCAATTTTGTAAGGAAAAGGAAATGCTTCAGCCGTGGCAGTAGGTGGTGATTAGAGGATGCAAGCACGATGATGCAAGAGGCAGGATTAAAGCGTCACAATACAGAGTACACCGGGCGTATTAACAACTTGTTTACGTAACCTCGAGACTTCCAAGACTTATTGAAACACGATCCCCGTGTCGAAGGGGGGACAGGAGATCAGGGTCCTTTTTTCGCATCGTCACCGTTGAAAACTTACACCGAACTAAACGCACGAGACATTTCGTCGGCCACCTCCTCAATTTTACAATAAGATCAAACCGACCTTTGACTTAGGATGGGCCTTATTGTGGTATACTAAAAATAGAATGTGTCATGGGGGCAGTAGTTGACCTAAATTTTGACCTTGCGAAACCACAACGTCCCACACGAACAATTTATCAAGCTAAGGTGCAATACTCCGTGCCTAAGAAATACTATTCTTAGTCAGCCAAGGAGTACTGAAGGCTTTAGACCTTTTCACCTTCGACTCAAAACTGGGCAAAAGCCAAGCCTCCAACTCCTGAGGAAAAGGAAATTTGGAAACCCCGATGTGGGTTGCCAGGCTCGAGAGGATTGAAGGCATTTCAAACAGGCGGACAAACTAGCATAATAAGGAACTCACCCTTCGGACTAGAAGGGCCAATTGGCACATCCCAACAAATATATGTAGAAAAACAACAGACAAGGTAACTATGACGTCTCATCCTTTCAAGTCAAAGCTGGTCTTACTCCCTACATATCCGCCAACACCTGGGGTTGATGGCAACGAATAGGCTGATAGACTATAGCTATGATTCTATGTTTATCTGTTTATTTATAAATTAATAAAGATGACCTGAGATGGGCAAATTACAAAAGAGATGATAAAGTAACCCAAGAGAATTCTTTTTTTTTAACATGGATATATTATAAATTCGGGGAGTGCGAATGAGTTGGGATAGGTTAGGTTATGATGAGTAAGATGAGCACAAGTAGGGTTAAATTTAGGTAATTTAAAGTTATATATACATAATACAATGTTTGTCTGTTTATTTACAAGCTATAAGCAGATGTTCAGAGATGGCCAAACTGCAAAAGTGATGAAAAGAAGCCCAAGGGAATGCATTTTTTTTTTAACATTGATATGCAAACGAGGAGTGCGTATGAGTTGGGTTAGGTAAGGTTATGATGTGTAAAGTTAGGTTAGGTAGGGTCAGGTTGAGGGGAGTGTAAGGTTGTGGATAGGTTGTGCGCATGAATTGGGATAGGCTACGTTACGATGAGTAAGGTTAGGTTACGTTAGGTGAGGTAAGGGTCAGAGTTAGGTGCGTCACGTAAGTTTATCTATTTAATTATAAACTATATTTCAGCACTCGGTAAAAAAGAAACAGAGGCAACTTGTGGGGGGAATAATTATAAATATCTTAATTCAATCTCCGATTAGATTTCTTTGTGTTTAGTTAATTTTTTACAGAAATAAAGTTAAATTTGCAGTAAGGTGCAGACGGCCGAGAAAAAACATGCAGCTTTTGCCAGATTTCGCCTTGAAGTCCACGGCCGTTCGGTTCATTCTGGACAATAAAACCACCCAGCTGTCTGCTCTAACAGATGTATACGGATTATCGCAAAGATATTTAAACGCTAAATATCCAACCAAACTTTAGGGTTTTAGTTTCGTTAAGTTAGAAATGGTTAGTATAGATAGGGTTATGGTTAGAATGGTTATGATAAGTAGGAATCCGGGAATGATAGGTTCGGAATGGCGGTTTTTTTTCGGTCTCTTTCTAATTTTTTTATATTTATTATTATCTAACGTTTCTCTGGGCCGTTTTCAAAAGTTTGCGCCATTTTTCATAAAATCTAATGCGCTTGATGAATTTACAAACTAAATTGTACGTTACCATTTGAAAAAATTACTTATTACGATGATTGAAAGTAGAGCGTACGATTTTTTTTGTTGGGTTACGAATGATTAGGATAGAGGGTTAGGTGAGGTTAGGAATGGCTAGGCAAAATAAAGTTAGAGTTAGATTAGGAATGGTGTGAGTTTTTGGTACTTGTAACGTTTTTCTGGACTGATTTTCAACAATTTTTCGCCATTTTTCATGAAATCGAATGCTCTTGATGAATCTGCAAACAAAAATGCAGAACAAGGTAGGACACAAAATAGGTTATGTTAGGGTTAGGTTACGTATGATAGCATAAGTAGGGTTATAGTTAGGTTATGAATGGTAAAGATAACTAGAACCATAGTTAGGTTATGAATGGTAAGGATAAGAAAAGTAGAGTTAATTTAGGTTATATTAGGAATGGTTAGAACAGATAGGGTTAGGATTAAGCTAACTAATTAACTAACTAACTTAAACTATATTAAATATGTATACTGGTACTATAATACTTTCTTAACCTCTGCCTTGATGGGCTGGATGTCTTAAAATTTTGTGCCATTCTTATAATGAATTAACATATTTAAAGATGTTATCGAGTTAACAGACACAACACGTAAGATGGCGAGAAGCAGAAACTCGTCTGACAGACCCACTCTGCGTCTTTCGATCGGTAACGACCAAATTATAAGTTCATCACCTCCCAAAAGCCTGAATGCCATTGTTATATAATACAAATCTACTGTTGTATAAATACCATATCTGTAAAATTGTAAATTTTGTTAATTGGCAAATAAAATCTATTCTCTATTCTCTATTCTCCCAGACAACATTGAGAATAGGTTGATGAAGAAGTAGGGTAATTTAATGAAATCTGTTATATCTATAAACAAAGGGCGGCTGAAAGTGTTGAATAATTGAATAATCGAATATTGTTTTTTAGAACATTTTCAAGTCAACAAAATAACGGCCAAATCGAAAGGGGTAAAAAGTAAAAAAAAAAAAAAAAAAATCAGGGCCCCGCGATCACCGGGGACAAATGCGATTTCGAACTTCGTAAATAAAAATACAACCCACCTTCAAATGCAAGCACTCAATTAAACGATAAAAATAAAAACTATGACGCAACGGGAGATAAGTCGCTTCCGCCGGTTCGCACAACCGATGGGTAACACAAGCAGGCGATCATGACGAGAGTAATTATTTTTAGAGAATTTGTTTGTTTTACCAGGATGGCGAAGAGGGGGCAAACAACGAAGGAGGGTAAGTGGCCGTAAAGGATCAAGGAACCCGAATAAGGATCCAATTTCTAAAGGATCGAGGTCGGTAACCGCGTTCTCTCGACCATATCATCGCCGTCCGAGGCCTTCCCCAAGAATCCTCGTTCCCAACAGGCACAATTGACCGGCTCTACTAAAACAGACAAACATATTTTATGAAATAACACCAAACCTGGAAGAAGGGAAATGTTCACAGCTCCTTCGAATCTCGCCAAGACGGCGCACTTATTCAAACCCCGATAAAGATTGTGAATCGCAGCCAGCCCCTCCTCGGGCCAATCGTTATCTCCAAACCTCGCTATTGTCCTTGTATCGTCGAGTGTTGAACATCGAAAATAAATTTCACACCAAGTTCACAACACTTTTCAAAATGCAAAACCGTGTCTTCGGAAGCGATGGACCTTCTCGAGATAATACCGCACCCCTTAATTAATACAAATCAGAGATTTTGCAAAGTAGCCTTTGAATGCAATAATATATTTATCGCGAATTCGTCTCAGACTAATTTTTTCAATGCAGGACTGGAGGTTATCGTTCATTCGGTAAGACCCCGACGGCAGTTAACCCCAGGATTTAAGGTCAAAAGTGTACTAATAGTCTAAAATATTTTTAAAACCGATGTCTATTTTTAAGACAGCCTGCTTCTTTAAATAACCGTACAAATTTATTGATTATGTATTAGTTTGACCGTGTTAAATTAAGTGTTGTTCAATTGAAAAAAGGATTATTTCGGGGTACATGCTTATCTTGCCTAGCCTATTAAGTAATGAGATTAACCAGCAGGATCTATACAATTTCCCTTGGATTTTTTGAGCTTGAAACATGAAACTTGAACAAAATGACGTGAAATATACACTATAAACACAGATTAGAATCCTTTAATTTAATACAGTAGGTCGATCACAGCATAGACAGGGTGTCAACTTACCAGTATCAACCCCTTGGTTTACTAAAAACTACTCAACCTAAAAAAAGAAGTTTTCTTCGAATGTTAAACCTACATTTTCATTTGCAGATTAATCAAGTCTGTTCGATTTGATGAAAAATGGAGATAACCATTTGAAAAACGGTTCAGAATAAAGTTAGAGATTGAAAAAATATCAAATATATAGTCTAAAATATTTTTAAAACCGATGTCTATTTTTAATACAGCCTGCTTCTTTAAATAGCCGTACAAATTTATTGCTTATGTATTAGTTTAGCATAGCTAAATCAAACTATGATTTTAAAAAAAAATCTCGCCATTCCTAACCTAACTCTCACCCTAACCGACTTATCTAAACCATTCATAAACAACTCTAGCCATACTTATCCTAACCATCCAACTGCGACCTAAACAGGTCTACTGTGGAACCCCTATGGCTTGCTATACCTTGGAAACTGCGCTATTCCTTATAAAACTGAGCACTTTCCTAGGTGGATCTCTTTGGGTATGAGAAATATCCTACCGAAGTGGCAGTACCGCAAACGGGCTACTGCTTTACATTCAAGGATATGTGCCAATGTCTCTGGCTCCTCCTGACTGAGACGGCATGTTTCCGTCTCAGCCTTGACATCTTCTTAATGCGATAGTTAAGAGGGCAGTGGCCAGTATAAAGGCATCCTCCTCAAACCCTGCCTGCTGAAAGAGAAATTTTGAGAGATGTGTATAAATCTCTTAGCCTGTCTCATATCTGGAATGTTTTTCCAGTGTTCGAGTTTTTCTTTCTCAATCCATTTTTCTAGTTCCAACTTAAGCACACACTCCGGAGTACTTAGTTGTGGTTCTGATCCCATATGTGAGAGGGTTGCCCCTTTTTTTGCTAGTTGGTCAGTCTGTTTATTTCCTTCTATACCTATATGTCCGGGAACCAACTTTACAGTTATCTTGTTTTGGTTTTCCAGAGTCATTTGGCAGTTTAGGCACTCCCAGACAAATGCGGAGCATGTGCATTAGTGCCTCTATGGCTGCTTGGCTGTCTGAGAGTATATCTGTGCACGTTTCATATTTTCTTTATTGGCTCGTGGCAAATAGTTGTACTGTATGGACTTCAGCATGCAAAATCGTTGGGGTTAGTCCAAGGGGCTTCTCTAGGGTGTAATTCGGCCCTTATTAGTAATTTTACCTCTACGCCTACTCCCTGTTCCATCTTCGAACCATCTGTGTACAATATTAGGGCCCCTTCTTGAAATTTGGGTCCACATTTCTTCCAAATGTCTATCGTCCATGTCCACCTGGAAGGGTCTGTCAAAGTGTAGCTTTTCTATCATTTTGGCAGACACCGTTGTAGCCATTACATTTATTTTAATTCTTTGTAGAATTTTGTGGTGGCTACTCCTTATATCTGGTTTTATTTCTTTATATCTGGGGAGTCTATTGACACTCTCAAAAGCCATCTTTTGTACATAAATATGTAAGGGCGGGAGGTTGAGTGCGGCCTCCATTGATGTAGTTGGACAGGTATGCATTGCTCCTGTAATATTGAGGCACGCTAGTCTTTGTAGACTCTGTAATTTGGTCTGTGTCTTCTTATTTAGAGACTTTGGCCACCACGCTATAGCTCCATATGTGACCAATGGTCTTACCGTTGTGGTGCATAACCAATACGCTATTTTGGGGTTTATTTTTTACTGCATAGTCCCAATGCACCCATACTTACAAGTATCCATACCCCAATTTTTACTGCATAGTCTTTGGCCAATGTTTAATAGATCAGCCTGCCCGTTCGTTAGAATTTTCTGTGTCGTTGTCGCAGTGGGAAGGTTATCCATACCTTCACAGAAACTTCTCCACGATTTTCTGTTAGCTTTTCTCAGAGCTTTATTGTATTCGGTTTCAGGAGGAACCTAAGCTAACGTCCATTCCTACTTATCCTAACTTAACTCAAGACCTAACCTAACTCTAACCCTACTTACAGGTACTTCTAACTATTCCTACCATAACCTAAGTCAAACTCTCCTTATCCTAACCATTCCTCACCTAACCTTAGCTAACTGCCAACCCTATTTATTCTAACTTAACCTAACACTAAACCTACGTGTCCTAACCATATCTAAACTAATTTCAACCCTACTTATCCTATATATTCTTAACCTAACTCTACTTACCCTAGCCATTCCTAACCGTACCCTAATACTACCTAACCTAACATAACGCTGCGAACTCCCCAGTAACACAAAAATAGCCACAAATGAATATTTAAAACAGCTTAGGTTATTGCACCCCAAATTAACACCAGAAACAGTTATTATAAATAAAGTTAATCCATTTTTTAGTTGTATCTCTTATCATGTTTTCGTTTTTTTTTGCTTGATTACTTTCGCGTTATCGACCGGAGTGCGCATGGATTTTGTTATGTTAAATTAGGGATTATGGTACCAGAGAATATCAGACAGTTCTTCGCTGAAAATGGCGCAAGCCGAAATGCGTTTGGGTAATATCAAAACCCGCAAGTATGAACGAACCAAGTAAATGACCCACCAGTGTCATCTCAATACGTTAGAAATTGTTAGAATAAGTAGAATTAGATTAGGTTAAGTTAGAAATGAATAGGATAATTAGATACAGGCTAGGTTAGGAATGGTTACGATAAATAGTGTTATTTGGTTAGGTTGGGAATGATATATAGCATTAGGCTAGGAATGGTTAGGATTGGTATGGTTAGATTAATAATGATTAGGATAGGTGGGGTTAGGGGATGGCCTAGTTCTTTATGTGCAGTATCTGGTTTAACTTGTTATTTTTGCAGTATCGAACGTTCTTAAAAATCTTATTTTCAAATAGTTTTTGTAATTTTTCATTAAATCACTTAATGAGTCTGCGAATGAAACTGTAGGTTACCATTTGAACTGCAATTACTGCAATGATTGAAATTAGAGTTCATGAACTGAAAAAACTATAAATTTTTTATCTAATTTTTGAGAAAACCAGAGATGACATTAGTAAGTAGACATCCTATGGGCATCAAAATGAAAGTTCCGCCGTTTAAATAAATAACAACTATTTGACGACAACTTGAGTGAATAGATTTATGTTTGTTCAAAAACTAAATGTACTAGAAAAGCTGATCTATGTTTTGAAAGTAATGGCTTAAGGAACGTTCCTCTAGGCAGGAAAGAACAACCTGGACAAAACGTAAAAGTTGTTCGAAAAAGTCTCCATGAAAACCAGCGGCCACAAGGCTTAGTTTGTTTTTGTCGCGGAAATATTACTAAAAATACAGTCTTTCTAGTGTAATCGTGATCGAGTCGATACTCTGAATTGTCGGTTTATATCCGGGAAAATAATAATACCCGGGGGTCTTTGGCCCAGTTAAGGCCGTTCTAATTTTTCCCGATGGCTAATTCGACGAGACGAAGCGTGAAAGGTTTCGATAATTTCATCTTAGTTGTTACTGTCGTTTTACTGTGTAATGTATGGACTAAGGGGGGAAAACCGATCCTCGAAAAATAATTCCTACCTACACAGCTATATACTTTGATATACCTTAGAGCAACTTAACTATTTTTTTTTCAAGGTTAAGTGGAAATCCCGTGATATTAGGCTAACCCAGTGTTGTACCTACTATTTCGGCCTACGTGTTGTCAACACTGATTTTTTGGCGCCAATCTAAAATTTCCATCTTGGAATCTTCTAAAATGGCTCTTCACCACAGGGGGCGAGTTTCTTTTAAAACTGCTACCGACGATTAGGTATTTTTCAATGCCATTTTAAATAAATAATAAATTCTTTTTCATATCAAATACCATTTGGCATGACACATTTGATATGGCAAGATCAGGAGGTCAATTGGGATTTTGACTGTTTCCATCTACCCGGAATTGAAATCGAAGAGATAAATTGTTCACAGCCAGATAATCACCGATGAGTGTACGGTCGACAAAAAAAAAAAAAAAAAAAATGATGTTATACCATAACAATTTATGTTCGTGCACCACTAGAAATCCGGAAGTGTTGTGACTCGGTGTTCAGAATCACGTTCGCGATTAGACGATTAAATGCCTGCGCTTGTGAAGGGCTTAGATAAAATGTTCGATTTTTCTAGCTCCACGCGACACAAGCTTAGCATAAACACACAAAATCTATTCATTGTCTCATTGATGATGGTAATCCTGATTTTATACGATACGAAACAAAATGATTATTAATACGGCAATTTTCAAACCAACGCAGCAAATCCACCGTTAGGAAATTATATCCAATGTAAAACAAAATTAGTATTTATGAGACAGTGATGACTCCAAAAATTCCATATCCTGAATTCTACTCAAAATAAATCTTTACTTTTGTATAATTGTTTATGAATTTATTACATAAACAGAAACACTGTTTTCTCTGTATTAATGATTGAGTAATTCACCTCGTGCAAAAAAAAAAAAAAACTGCGACAAATCAAGCTATCATGCGTTAATAACAATTTAAACGATAAGGTCTTGATTAATCAGCCATGCAAAACATTCTGAAACCAGCAAACATAGTTTTTG